GCTAGGCTCAGCCCGCCTTGCGGCAAGTCGGGAAGACAAAACCAGTTGAAAAACTTGTATAATTTCAATTCAAGATTAAATCAATCGTCTCGGGCGGTTGCGAGGCTTTGGAATTGCAGATGCGAATGACGTCCAGCAAATCGTATTCGCTGCCGGCTACGGCGGACGGCGCGGAATCGAGATTCATCCAAGGGGTTGGACGACAGCGCCAGTCGTGCCGAAGCCCAGGGAAGGAAGCAGCTCGTCAAGAGGTTGTCAATGGTTTCAAGGCGGGTGAGACTTCTCACCTCCAGAGTCAATCGGGGAGGCATGTGAAGTTGCCGATGGGAAAGTTGCAAAGCAGGTTTCCGACGTGACTCAAGAGAAAATCCGGGAAGTGAATCACTCGAAACATTTCCGGTGCAGAGGCCAGCCCGTTGCCTGTGTAGTCTCGTCAAAGAAACAATGCGGTGTTGGTGTGTTGAACGTGCTGAGAACAGGTGGTCGTGGTGTTCTTGAAGTTGCTTTGGAGAGGTGTGGCTTGTGGCTTGTTCTCGTCTTCATCACCTCTGACTAAGCAGACACTGTCGTCACACCCCTCCATTGAAGCTTCAGAAGCTCTCAAGATTCAGTCGTCACAAATCTCATACCGCGTCCTCAAACCAGCTTCGCCCAAGCTGGAAACGAGACAGCCACCATGGAGCCTCCAGCATCAGTATCAGCGCCGCCAGTGCAACCCTCCTCCTTTCCTACCATCAAGCCTCTGCCAAAGACGACCCCTCACACCTTCCAAACCCCCACCAAACGCATCAACACCGGCACCGACCTCGCGACATTCCTCACCACAACCGCATATCGCGACATCCTCCTCTTCCTCCTCCAGCTAAACCGATCCCTCTGCCCGCGCCGCTCCCCCTCGGGCGGCCCCGCGACGACCTACCCCCTCACCTCCGTCCCGCCGCCCTCGAGCGACCGCCTCCCGGCCCCGATCAAGGCCCTCCAGAACCTCCTCTCCGCCGCCGAGTCCCTGATCGAGCTCGCGCCCCCGGACCCCGGACCCCGCCGCTTCGGCAACGTCTCCTTCCGCAAGTGGCACGAGCTCCTCGCCGAGCGCGCACCGGCCCTCCTCTCCGAGCACATCCCGTCCGCCGTCCTCTCCTTCCCGACGACGCCCTCCTCCGAACCGCCCTCATCCGAGCTTCTCTCCTACCTCCTCGGCTCCTTTGGGTCCTCGCAAAGGCTCGACTACGGCACGGGCCACGAGCTCGCCTTCCTCGCCTTCCTGGGCTCCCTCTACAAGCTGGGCTTCTTCGGCGATGGCTCCGAAGCCGACCCCGCCGCGACGGACCGCGCCATCGTCCTCGGCGTAATCGAGCCCTACCTCCGCGTCGTGCGCAAGCTCATCCTCACATACACCCTCGAGCCCGCGGGCTCTCACGGTGTCTGGGGCCTGGACGACCATTCTTTCCTCCCCTACATCTTCGGCTCAGCACAGCTCACGACCCCGATCACCCAAGGCTCAGCAGAGCCGATGCCGATGGAGGGGTCCGTCCGCGGGGCGCCCAAGACGGGAGACATTGTGAAGGCGGCCGTCGTTGAGGAACAGAGGACAGAGAACATGTACTTCTCCGCCGTGGGCTTCATCAACGACGTCAAGAAGGGCCCTTTCTGGGAACACAGCCCCATCTTGTTCGACGTCTCTGGCGTCCAAGCCGGCTGGGGCAAGATCAACAAGGTAAGGCTTTCGTTTGCATGGCCAATGAGTAGTACCTAACACCCCGCAGGGCATGCTCAAGATGTTCAACGCCGAGGTCCTGCAAAAGTTCCCCGTCGTCCAGCACTTCACCTTCGGCTCCCTCTTCTCCTGGGACCAGGACCCCGACGCCGCTCCCGTCGCCCCGTCCGTCCACGCTGCGAACCAGCCGTCATACAACTACCCGGCAACGACAGCCCCGCCACCGCCGCAGGGAGCAGGCACAGCGGCACCGTGGGCGGCAGGCCGCGGGCAGATGATGCCGCCGAGAGGACCGGTACCGCCATCTGGTGCCAGAATACCCCCGCCTGGTGGTATGCCGTACACGAGACAACCGCCGGCGGCTACATCGGGTGCGCCACCAGCTCCGGGCATGCTTCCGATGCCCGCTCCCGGTGCGCAGGCGCAGAGCGGCTCGACGGATGCGCAGGTCACCTTGACCAAGGCACCGTGGGCCAAGTAGGGAAGCGATGATCATGATTATGAGACCAGCCTGGCGAGAGATGCCAGAGCAATGAATCAAAGGATATACCCTCAAGAGCCGTAGGCGGCTGAATGCAAGATGAACCAAGTCAAATAAACCTTACCTTACCAGAGTGCAACACTCAGCATTATCCGTCGTCTTATTCTTGTCGGCCCTGCCCAGCTGTGCCCTCACCAACACTTGAAGCATCACAATTCAAAATGTAGAAGCAAAACGCTTTGATTTAACTACTCAAGTAATGGGTATCCGGCAATTAAGTAAACAAACAAAGTAGCCCGCGGGCCTTCATCGCTCCCTTCAGCTGTTTTCGCTGCAGATCTTGTATACCATGCGGTGGCGTTTGCCCACCTAGATCCAAGCCGGACCAACATTGGGGACTTCAACCTTTATGTAGGCAGGGTGATCTTCATACCAAGCTATCTCAGATCCGCCAGACGTGAAGTATCCAGGGGCATGACCGAAATCATAGGTGAGAGGATCAAAATCAACTTCAAGGTCATAAGGAATATCGACTGTCAACTAGGCAGGGGGAGCTCCAGAAGCCGCGGCGGGAGCAGCGGCGGGAGCCGGGGCGGGAGTCTCCTTCGTCTCGGTCTTCGTCTCGGTCTCCGTCTTGGCTGGCTCTGCCGCCTTGGGGGCCTCCACTGGGGGGTCCGCCGCCGCGGGAGCAGCAGCAGGAGTCTCAGCGGCCGGGGCGGCAGCCGGGGCTGCGGGAGTCTCCGTCTTCGTGGGCTCGGTGGCAGCCGGTGCAGCGGGTTCAGCAGCCTTGGGGGCTTCAGCGGGAGGCGCAGGTGCAGGTGCAGCAGCTAAAAACGCGTCAGTCTCGGGTATCTGTGCCGGGTGGATCGCCAACACGTGAACGTACCGGCCTCGGGGGCCTTGGCGGGCTCGGTGGTCGCCGGAGCTGCCTCCGGCTTGGCTGCGGGCTCGGGGGCCTTGGCCGGCTCAGAAGCGGGAGCGGCAGCGGCAGCAGGAGCTGCGGGCTCGGCTGCGAGAAACGTCAGTTACTGATCTGAAGACGCGTCTCCTCTGATAGGAATGCAAGGCAATCACGTACTCGCGGGGGCAGCTGCGGGAGCGGCCTCGGTCTTGGTAGGCTGAGTAGCGGTCGAAGTGGTGGCAGCAGGTTGTGTCCCGTTAGTCGGCTGGCTTGTGTTGTTGGTCTTCTTCTTCTTGAAGATCTCCTTGAGCTTGTCCTTGAGGTTGTCAAGGGCGCCGAGAGCTGTCATGGACGTGTTAGTGATTTGTCTTGGCATTGTGATTTGAACGACATGGAGACCAGCCACAGGAGAGGCGTTTCCGAGGTATCTGAGCATGATGCTCTCGCAAGCTCATGGGCCGCGGACGCAACGACGGGGCTACTCACGAACTCCACCCATGATGGCGGTTTTGAATGACTGTAGTAGAGCTGTCGGTGGTTGGATCCGCTTATAAGCAGCGATAGACTGGTAGTGGGTTGATACTGAATACTCGGATGATGACAGCGAGAGCAGACGATAGACGTTGGATGTAAAGACGACGACGACGACGATGCCGGGGCCTCGAGTAGAAATAGCCACGCGCCCAGCAGCAGCAGCGGCAGAAAAGGGTCTCTCGTCTCAGCAGAACGGCGGGAAGGAGCTGGGGTCCAATGGTTCGTGCCTCGTTCCCTGCTGAGGCAGTGACAATCAATGGAGAGGGGCCCGTGGCGGCCAACCGTGCAGCTGCCATCCCTACCAGTGACACCGACTACAGCACACTTTGGTCTCCCTAGCGCATCACCAGGTGCGCCCTGACTCCTCCACAACGGCGGGCAGTGGGCGACATTGGCGACCTCCCCACGCGGTACGTACCCGGGCAGAGCTTAGCACTGGCGATGGCTGCTAAATTAGGATCCAGAAGCACCTCACACGCCAAGGACGACCTTGACTGTGGGAGGCGAAGGCAGCTGGAGGCATCCAGCGAAGATGGCAGTGAACACTGAACAGCAACGGAAGACGTCCCGATGTGCAAATCTACGAGCGTCAGCAGTGATTTCCCGCAGATAGAGCACGCCTCCCAGAGTTCATCCGTCATCGGAGATTCGCGCCGTTCGTATCGCAGCAAGTCTGGCAAAGTTTGATGAACAGGATGGGCGGGCAGCGGCATGCTGAAACCCTGCTTTTCCAACGCCCTTCTGCTTGCTGGAAGCTGTGGCTGCATGCTGCATGCTGCGCGCCAAGGACGGCGTCGACCTATGCCGCAGCAACTTCATCTCACTGCACTCGCTCTCGCTCCAGCTGGCTCCTGATCAAGGCGATGGTGCCGATGGATTATGCAGCGTTGTTATTACCACCCACCAAGAGCCTGGCCCTGATGGGTGGCATTCGCCCATCGTCTGGAGCTGCAGGTCGCCCACACAGCTCCAGAACAAATTTGACAATATGCCGTCATTTCATCAGACCGCAAGCCAGGGTTGGCTGGCACCAGATAGCCAGAGACTCAGGGCCGGAGGACTACACCGCTTCGGGTTAAAGAAGTTCTGATAATCAGATGCACCGGTGGTCAAACATCGGATCAAGAGGTTTGAGATTGCTCGAAATTGGTGCGGATGCCCGCTGCAACGTCGAGCAATCTCGACTCGCCCGTTGATCCTCACATGAGCGTGCCCAAACAGAGCAGCTCGACATGTCACGTGCGGACAGAACATCGACCCACTTGTGCTAGCACAAATGATTCTGCACGATTCCGACAATCATGGAACGTCGCGAGAAAAAGCGTCATTAACATCATCTGCCAAAAGTCCACGAATCCGGCAAAAGAATGGGGCCTGACCGGGGATCGAACCCGGGACCTCTCGCACCCAAAGCGAGAATCATACCTCTAGACCATCAGGCCGGAAGAGCAGATCTTACTCATCAGCTGCCAATCGATTGGCGATGCCGGGGAGGCCAGATTCAGCGCTTATGTTTGACGTGCGCCGCACAGTGGTTGCTCAGGAGAAGGAATGTGGGTGCGTACCACGGACGCTCAACTTTGTGCCAGCCAGCGACCAGGGATGTCATCGCCGAGTGCAGGAGCGGGTCGGCGGCTGCAGTGCCGCTGCGTGGGTGGAGTCGGCAGAAAACCTTCGAAGCTGAATATGGGACGAATTCGAGAAGAACAAAGTTGTTTGTTTTTCTCTCTGTTGGATTCAGGTCGGGAAAGTAGCGTCGAGAACTCAGAATTTTATTTCTTGCAAGACGGGCGGCTTGTTGTGAAAATAATGCAAGTGGCCCCCTCTTGGCGGCGAAATTTGAACCGTGACCAGATTGGTCGGCGGAGCCAAGCCAGGGTTGATTGGATTGCAAAGTAATTTTGCCAAGGGCTGGCCTGTCAATGCCTGCAATTCATTGGATACAGATCCAGCCAAGGTCGACCTGGCGGTAGTGTGCAGCGTCGTTGTTTGACTTGTTGTAAGAAGGATAGGATCGACGGCCAGGTGAAGCTGTCTAGTCCTTTGTCGAAATAGGGCAGCCTTTGACTTGGTGCAAGTGAATGGTTGATATCAGGTTGTGACAGGAATACAGAAACATCTTTGGGTATCATTCGCAAAACTACATAATCTCGTCCCCAGCGTCCTTCTCGCCTCGCACGTCGCTGCTGCTGCTCTCGCCACGGACAACATCAAGCTCGTCCCGCAACTTCTCCGTCAACTTCTCGATAATCCACTCGCACTCCTCCAGGCTCCCCATCAGCGGCGACTGCGACCCGACCCACGACCACTTGTCTTCGTCAGGGCACTCCATATCCTCATCGCGCACCTTCCTCCGTCTGCTTTTCTTCTTCTTCTTGGAGTGGATATGCGGACGAGCCTTGCGGTGCGTGGCCGAGCTGCTTTCGTCCTCCCCAATCAGCTTCAGGTACCACGCCCACTCGGCGAACGAGTACTTTTTCGCGGGCTTCTGTTTGGAATGCTGGCGGACGGCGGCTATCTCCGAGATGAGCAGGAAATGGTACTCGGCGCGAGAGGACGGCAGCGGTGCCGTGGGGTCGCGACTGCGGGACTGCTGTCGGCCTGAGGTGGGATCGGGGACGGAGGAGTAGGCGTCCGTGTCGTTGTCGTCCTCCTCGGAGCTGCCCTGCTCCAGCCGGTGGGCATTTCCAAGGAAGCCCGGGGGCAGCTCGTCTTCCTCGTCCATGAGCGGCCCCTTGAATATCACGCCGCAAGTCCATCGGTCCAGCAGAGCGAGGAGCTCCTTGCGGAAGCCCCGTTCTCCCGGCAGGATGGTCACGTTTCCAAGCTCGAGCGTGGCGTCGCGAACGGCCTTGACGACGGTGTCTCCTGCGTTTGAAATCATGACCGTCATCGTCGGCAGCGCCAGGAGCGACCAAAAGACGAAGAACGCCTTGCCCGAGTTAGAGACAGGGGTGCGGTCTCCGTAACCGATGGTGGTCAGTGTGACAAAGGCAAAGTAGAAGCCCTCAAAGTACGACCAGTTCTGGTACGGACGTTCGCACTCCTGGAAGATCTTGGCGCCGACGAGCCACAGGATGAGCCAGGACGAAAAGGAGATGGACATGGCCATCCAGCGGCGACGGACAGAAGCAGAATCTTGGATCTTGCGCATGAGGTTAAACTCTTCCTGGCGGCGCTCGAACTCGGTGGCCGGCAGGGGCGAGGCATCCGAGACGGGAGACTCGACGTTGGACGGGATGGGCTTGAGGATGTCGTCCTTTCCCTTGCGGGTCATTGTGCGGATCAGCTGCCGGCGCTTCTTCTCGACCATGCGCGCGTCCAGTCTGCGGCGGCCACGTTCAAGAACCAAGCTCCGGATGGAGCCGATGACCAGACCGAGGCTGATGACTCCGATGAGGGCGTAGGGGATGAGCAGAGCCCTGCCCAGGGGTGAGGCGGCCGCAAAGTCGCCGAAACCGACAGTGAAGAGCGTCACGTCGGCCCAGTAGACAGCATCAAGGTAAGACCAGTCTTCGATGGTTGAGAATACGAGCGCGCCGAGCAGCAGATAGAGGAGGAAGAGGATCGTCTGCAGCATGAGGGTACGCTGCGCCGTGGTGAGTTGAAAGTCCTCTGCGTAGTGGCGGGTGTAAGCGCCGTACACGGTGACGACCATGAGGGAGGCGGTGACGAAGTATAGAATGGCTGCGAACATGCCATAGTAGAAGGCCTGGGAGTTGATGTACTCCTCTCGCGGTTCAATCACGAGTGGTCCCGAGGCAGTGGCATTGAGAGCGATTAGGCAGATCGCAGAGAGATACCAGCCCACGATAGTGATGGGCTGGGCCAGGGAGAAGCGGACCCGGCGGGCCATGTTCAGCAGGAGGAATACATTTGAGACGATGGCGATAGCCAACTGGATGGCGTTGACGATGATGAGCCTGGTCGTGTTAGAACACTCCTGAAGCAAGGGGGACGACACCAACCATTTTGGATCCGGGACAAAGGTAGCGGCATCGATATCGGTTCCTGGCGGGAAGTGCTGCCGCCAAGGGCGTACGAGAGCGCATATACTGAACGCCGATGCAACGGGGCCAAGGGTGCCGGCAATCATGGGGAACGCGGAGGACGCGAACCACCAACGGCTGGGCAGGTCAGCGACGGAACAAACACTAGATGCCAAGCAAGTCCATGTACGATCGAAACTTACCTCGGATCCAAGTGGGCATCGTCATTCTGGAAGCGCTTGTCTCGTTGAGCCTTGGCCTGCTCCGACTGGGCAACGCGCTGCTCGATATTGTCCCCCAGATCGGCGTCGTTCATGGTGCCGGCTTGCGGAGAGGTTTGTGGCCAAAGTAAGCAGGTTCAAAGCGGCGGAACCACCAAGACGAAGGCATTCCCGAATGTGGTCCAAAAACCGCTTCTGAGCAGAGACGACGGCAAGATCGTCCAGGGCAATGCTACCCAGAATAAAAAGACATTCAAATCCAAGGGATGAGTGCTTCGAAAAAGGAGAGGCGTCACTCGACCTCAAAGTCAAGGTCTTGGCCCGGCCGGACCTCTAGACCCGACGTACCCGGGTTTCCCCCGAGGGAAGATGGTGGTACAACGCGCTTCGGCGATGACGTCGGCTGGTGGTCGTGAGGGTGTGCAGCTCAGATGCCCGCCTCCTAGGTTAAGACGGCCGGGGCTTTCTTAGCGAACACGGGGCTAGACGGATTCGATGATCGGGGACGTGGAGTCGGGTGCGAGCGCAGACCTGTATCAACATCAAGTCGTCGAGTGTGTGACCGTGCTTGGAGCATCTTTTATATGTATCTTGCCCCCAGACTCGCCCAACTCATGAGGAATGGAAGATCAGGTTACCCATGCTTGCAGAAACGAGCTCATGATTGCTGCTCCAGTCGTGTACGAGTGAATAGCGCGCGTTGCTTGGCCGCCGGTGATGCCACGCGCTGCCCTTTACAGCGTCTTAGCGGTTTGCTTGAGCGCGCTAATGAGGGCCACGGGGGACCCTTGGCGAGAGCGACGGCGGGGATGTGGGGGGACTGCGGCGGTGCAGCACACCACGACGGAATGGCCACTGGCTGGCCAGGCCGCTCGCTGTCAGGGGGTCGCAAAAACGCGTCAGGGTGTGCTGGCGAGCGCCTCGTCTACATCTTGCATCCATTGTTGGTGAATCGATTTCAGGCCTGTCGATATTATGAAATGAGGAATCGGGTCTCTGATCCCACGCCGGCTCTTATTTTTAGACAATGAGAAGATGCCCAAGACTGTGGCTGCCGTGTCGTCTCCCACGTGTCCAACGGCGATGCTTCCACCCTGAGCAAACCCTTGACGACTCTGTCGAGGTGCCGATCGGCTCGTCTGGCAGCATCGCAGTAGAGTATGTCTCTCTAAAAAGCTCAAGATCGTGTCTGACAAGCCCAGCCTTCACAATGTCGTGCGGCAATCCTCTTCAGCCCCTCTGATCATATACATACCGCCACACTCGCCACTCCCGGGCACTCACCCGTCCGTTCCCGGGTTTCTTCACCCATATCCGACGGCCGTCATCAACTACCGATGGTCCGCCCCGGACTCCACTCCCCCGGACGCATCGGGAGAGCCCAGCTTCACCACGCCCCTGCAGTGGCCGACGCCCATCCATGACGTCCTGGCCGGCTACACCTGGATCACCGAGAATCTCCGCCCGGAGCACACCTCCCGCCGGGACCTCTACGTCTACAGCTCCCACGCCGGCGCCAGCCTCGCCGCCTCCCTCGCCCTGACCGAGTCTCACCACCACGAACGCGTGGCCGTCCGCGGTCTGGTCGCCTGGAACGGCATCTACAACTGGTCCATGTTCCTCTCAGACCACCGCATCAACAAGCCCGCAACCCCGCGCGGCCGCAAGCTCCCCTCGCGGCCGAAGGAGGGCTCGGCGCTGCATGCCCTGCAGATGGAGATGACCGATCTGTTCAGGAAACCCGCGGACCTGTTTGACAATTTTGCGAGTCCGAGTCTCTTCTTCCAGACCTCGGGGATGCTTCCGCCGTCTACATTCACGCAGGCAGCCGTGATGACGGAGATGTTGAATCGCATGTCGTCTTTGACGTCTGGCGGGAGTGTCACTGATCTTCTGGCCGCGACAGGCAGTGCGTTCACGGCACCGAGGCGGAGCGCGCTCATGTTTCCCCCAAGAAAGTCCACACTGAAGCTGCCGGCGTCGTTGTTGCTTCACGATAGCCCGCCTTTGCAAACAACGAAGAGGGCGAAGCGCAGGGCCGCGGGACACACGTTCGAAGCCCAGGCGTCGGAGTTGGCCTCGCTGATGAGGAAGAGCTTGGAAAAGTTGGAGTTCAAGTCGCGATTGCAGTGGGATGAGGACTTTGACGCCGAGACCGAAGCAGAACGGCGGGTCAAGCTGGTGGACGTCGGGGACAACGAGTACCTGCAGCTGGGGGAACGTGGTCAAGAA